AGAGAGAGAGAGAGAGAGAGAGAGAGAGAGAGAGACGCGGATGAATAGAGCGGGGAATATAGTAACCATAGACACAACTCGTGTTTTTATTTCTCTTTTGTTATATTGTATGGAAGTATTAAATGACATATAAAGTAGATTTTGGGGATCAAAAAATGAGATATAATATGGACTAAATTTAACTAAAAAACGCTATGCTTGCTATTATTTTAGAGTTTTTTTAAGTGATAGTTTATTTTGCTAATTTCAAAATTTTACTGTAAAATTATTTACGAAATAAATTTTCAAAGATTACTGCAAAACAATAAAATTGCAAATCGTTTAATACTAATCATAAAAAATTATTAACACTTTTAAAAGGAAATGTGAGCCAATATATGCCCATTTCCCGGATAAGTGTCTACACAAACATATAATTTAAATATATGCCAAGAAATATAATGAAAATCTCGATTAAAAATGTTGCTATTATTTATTATAGTTAGTAAATTAATAACATGTTCATTTTGTATACGTGTGAGTAGTTATTGCGGTGATCCGGGTCTTCCACCCGACGCCACGCTTTACAACGTAAACACCGGTCGTATTCGTTACCACTCGGGAGAAGTGGTCCGATACCGGTGTAGTCCTGACTTTCATACGTTCAGTCAAACCAGAAAATGTGTTTCCGGCCGTTGGGTCGGAGAGATGGCCCGATGTGGTAATGGTTCCCATATTTTAACACTATTTCTTTCACAATTGTTTGTGCTTTTTATTGTCGATTTTGTGCCAATAGTTTTGAAATAACAGATAAAATAAGTTTTTTAATCATTTGAAAGGGGATTAGGGTTTTGCAGATTAAATCAGTTCTACTTTATTGTTATTTTTATACAACTTTAGTGTTATATGAGTTGTTTGTTATTACAACAAATAGAAATAAAAACAGAAAAGTTAAAAATATATTGACTTAAAATATTGCTTAAAATAGTTTTAAAAATATTTAAGTGGTATTTTTCTCTCAATCAACAGGTATTCCCATTGAAAACGATATACAATTGGTTCAAGTGTTTAATTGCAGTGACAGTGAAAACAGTACAACAAATAATGAAATATTAAATTTACCATTAAATCAAACAGAAAACCCATTACTATTTGCCAACTCCTTTCACGCCAGTCGTCACGAATCGGGTCCCATAACAGTGAACGGCTCGTCGTGTTATATCTGGAAATTCAAACTCCAGAGGCCGACAATCATACCATTCCTAACCATAGACTTCGCCACTCAACTCAACCCAAAGGAGACAATCAACGCATCGGTCGACGACTTTAACGTCACTTCAATGCGAACCGAAGTGTTAATTGTGGAGCCATTCGTGAGTCCGTATAGAATTTGTCGGCGATTAAGTAAATCGGATTTCCTTAACGGCGATCCCATCACTAACTCAACGTATTTGTTGAGTGGATATTATTTTCGTTGCGATAATATCGGTGAAAATGAGTACAAACTCGAGTCGAAGAGAGTGTCGCAAACATTTTTGGTTCAAACCCGGACTCAGTATAAACGAGACGTCCATTTAGTGGCCGTATTTTTGGCCACACATAAGATCGATCACAAAACCGATAAACCCGAGTGCGGCAAACCTGAGACTGTAAGCACTGGTGTTAACTTTCGGGAATCAAATTTAGGTAAAAGTTTTTTAAATTAAATAATTTTGTTAAAAATAATTAATATGAAGTTTAGGTTTATCTCAGTTTCAGTTTCAATGCAACGATTCATTCAGTGATGTGACGCCAAACAGACTCCAAACCCACTCTCCTGTCACCACATCAGCCGGAAATCCGTGGTATTCAATGAATTGTACAATCAATGGCTTCTTTGAGGGCCAGTTCCCGGTCTGTGTGCCGAAGACTCAGTGCCCGGGAATTGAGTACTTGGAAGAGACCAAAGACCCGAGTGTTGTCATTGAATCCCTAGAAAACGTTTTCTACTTGAATGCTAGTCATTGGGTGCCCACAGAGTATAGTCATGTGAACTATGGCTGTATAGATGCCGAGCATATAGTTATTGGCAGACTTTCCAGGATTTGCCTGAAGGGCGGCATTTGGAGCAGTAATGTACCGAAATGCTCGGCTTATGTAACACCAGGTATAACTTATTAATAAATCTAGGATTAGAATCTAGATTATCAATATAATTTTAATTTTAGATTCGCTGAGCCCAGTGGCACAGTCTCCGTGGACTGTAATCGCCCTGATGTCAATATTTTTGCTTTTGTTTTTGTCAATTGTTTTTCTATTTGTTCGCAAATATGTAACAAATATGAGGAAAGAGTTAATGAGATATAGAAATAAATCGCGAAGAAAACAGACATCGGTTTACGCGGACGTGAAGAGCAGTAGTATTTACTACATCTACGATGACTGCGAGACCAGTACTTCTGGGGCCCGGTTTGGGAGTCGACCAAACAATAGGGTCACCAGAAAAAGCCATCCAAAATATAAATATGATGCCGAGTACATTGATTTTGAGGGCTCATCCAGCGTGGACAATTCCGAACCATTGTACATCCCTATACTACCGCCCACTTAATTATAGTTTATATCATAGTTTTTAAAATATTAATTTAATATTAATTAATGTAATTAAAAATAAGTTGTAATTTTATATAGTTTTCTTGTATATTCTTCATTACTTGATATACTATTTCAATGAACAAAAAAACAGATCATATGATTATACATCAGATAAGAAATCTTTATTTAAATGAAAGTCATGTAAATGTATACTTGGATTACAGTATATGATTGTTTCGACTAAGAATTTGTTAATAATTTTAATAAAATTTTGATTCAATATTTATAACAATGAAAATTTTTATGTTGTTATCTAATTAACCAAATAATAGACACACATATCATGTTAATTGTTAATTAGAGCATAAAATTATTCGCAGCCCTTATGTGAGACATCAAACACATATCGTATTAATTAATATGACATTCAAATTGAATGTCAAATACTG